GACTTCCAATTACCCGTGCATACTCCACTTGCAATACTGGTTTACCTGCGTTTTTGGTAAGGTGAGCTTGCATATCCATTTCAGTTTTTGCGGTTCCATTCGAGTAGGTCTTAAACCTCTCTAGGATCTTTTCAGCATAATGATATTGAGATAGAGTGATTCCATCTGAAGTCTGAATGATCTTAATCCCAAGAATGACATCTGCAAGTCCTATGTCCTTCATGTCAAATTTTCCATTGAGCATGTTCTAGGTTTGTTGAATGATATCTTAGTTATTGCCTATGATAAGCATGTCATCTACATACAGACATAATATGATATATCTGCTTGGAGTACATTTGTAATAGATGCATTTATCACATTCGTTTATGCTGAAACCATTTGACATCGTCAAATCATCTTTTTCGTGCCATTGTTTTGGAGCTTGTTATAGACAATGATTTCACAAGTCTACACACTTTGTGTTCTTGATCCATAACCTTGAAACTTTTGGGATATTTCATGTATATCTTTTCTTTTAAATCTCCATTTAGAAAGACAGTTTTAATATCCATCTGATGGATTTCCAAACCTTGTAAGGTAGCTACACCAATCAGAATTCTGATCGAAGTTATTCTCGTAAGGGGAAAATAGGTGTCAAAGATATATAGACTTTTTTTTCGTCTAAATCCTTGCACCATAAGGCATGCCTTGTACTTATCTATTGAACCATCAGCTTTTAGCTTAGTCTTGAAGATCCATTTACACCCTAGTGCTTTAAACCCTTGAGGTAAGTCAGTTAACTCGTAGGTATGATTATGCATTATAGAATTCATCTCACTATTGACTGCGTCATTCCAATAAGGAGCTTCTTGTGTAGACATGGCTTATGTGTAAGATCTTGTTTCATTCTCAACAAGAAAAACCATTGTGAAATCTTCACCATAAGGTTTTTCCTTGCGAGCTCTTTTGCTGCGTCTAGGTTCATATTCAACCTGTTCTACTTCCATTTCATTTACAGCAGCAGTCGCATCTCTTTCTCACGAGTGCATTTAGTAGTTTGCTTATCTTTATATGAAAATATGTGTTCAAAGAATGATGCATTCCTTGATTCCATGATGGTATTCACATGGATGTCTGATACATCTGACTTATGTACCAGAAATCAATAAGCACTACTCTTGTGAGCATATCCGATAAAGATACAGTCCACAGTTTTAGGTCCGATTGTGATCTTCTTTGGAGATGGCATTGAATGGTCTATCATATTCTCCACCCCTACCACTTATGACCATTTTGATAGTCGTTTCCAGTTGTTTTTTTTACTTCGAGTTTGTACTCTTTGAATTTTTCCAAGACTTCATCTTTACTACGCAGCAAGTATACGTAGCAGTATCTTGTACAATCATCTATGAACGTCACAAAATACTTTTTACCACCTCTTGATTGTACATATTTTAAATCGCACAGATCAGTGTGGATTAATATGAGAGGTTCGGTAGTTTGTTCAACATGAAGTGATAATGTTTTCGTTAGCTTTGCTTGGACACAAATTTCACATTTGTCTCTGCTAATTTTGCATTTTGGAATCATGTTCATATTCATCAGTCTTTGAAAGACGAGACGCTGAGTTTTCAGAGAAATTCTCTCCAGGAGATGAACGATTCAAAACATTGCTAAAAAGTAAATTTAAAAGATCCTAGCTAAAATTTTTAGAACTCGAGTCATGAACGTATGAATACGCCACTGTCGTGATCATAACCAACTATCTCTCGCAACCCTGACCAGTAGGTTTCCACTCTGGTCCTGGAAGGGAAAAGATGCAAGCTTGCTTAAGACTCGTCAACATTCACAATTCGCCCATAGGTAGGTTTCCGATCCTACGGTTGATCTGCTCTTCTCAAACTAGATATGGCCCTGGATTAATACTTTCGCAACACCAAGGACCGAGATCAGATTGTAGTTCATGACGCTTCTCTCATGCATTAAAAATAAGTTTAGAAGAAAAAGTTCTAGGATTCGGCTTCAATAGCTAATGGAATCCTCATCGAAAATATATAGCCCCCATCAAAAATCCCTTAAACCCAACAATAAAACTACTCATACATGATTAAAGAAAGCAAAAACATTGTATTGAAAAGCTGAATAGAAATCGATATGGTAAAGGAACAAAAAAGGTTCATGAGATAGATCTCTATCTCTCTAAACCTAAAACTAAGAAAAATGAAAGACAAAAACTTAAAAGCTGCTAAAAGAGAAATGGCATATGTGTCTCTTCGTCTAGAGCTTCTAAAAACATGTATTTATAGTGTTCAAATCGTCACTTAGGCTTTTCTCCAAATGAGAGAATCATTTTTAGCTTGAAAATGGGCTTCGAGGTCGGACAGACTATACTCCGCGGTCGGGAAGGACGGAACCGGTACAAAATGGGTGTTAGCCGCGGGTAGGAATGTTTGCTGGCTGGTTTACGAGACATCTTAATCTTCGTGTAATTTTTGATTGAACCGTTGGATTGCCATTCTGTAATGTTTTCTGGAAAGCTGGTAATTCCATCTTTAATGTCTCCAAATTTGAGCTGGATCAGACGGTGAGAAGGTCTTCATTTGAGGATGAACTTATGGCGGTTTGACTCTGAGCTGAAATCTGGTTTTCTATCCATTTAACTAAGCTTTTTCCTAAGTTTCCTGAAAAGAGTCTTCAAACTACAAATACTAGAAAAACATAATAAAAACACTTGAAAGAAATAAAAGACATAGAAGAAATATTTCAAAATGATGCAAAAAAGTGCTCAAAATACGGTGTTATCAACTCTCCTAGATTTAAAGTGAAAAAACTGTAGATAATGCAAGACTCATGAAAGAAAAGTGGTTAGAAACCGATGAAATCCTCCCCTAGACTAAATCACACTGTCCTCAGTGTGAAAGAAGTCGAGATTGGATGAGAAAAATGCATAGATATATCGAAATAGACAAGCTCACTTACCTGGATTTGGGAGGCTGACGGGAATGAACCGGATCGATTCGAGAGGATGCGGGAAGGAGATAAATGGTGATGGGAGGTAGTGGGAAGTGATGGATGAAGTGGAATGGGACTTGGTGAGGTGGAATGAGGTGAAGTGTGTGGTTTGGGGTCGAGGGTCATGTGAACGACCATTTGCTGCGGTCAGGACTCACACGACTGCGGGTCGGATAGGCTTGGCCGCTGTCACAAGTACGGGCCTGCGGTCGATGTATGGTTTACCGCGGTCCGAACTCATGCGACTGCGGGGAATTAAATGCGGCATGTTCCTACTTCTCCTTGGTTCCTGCTAGGCCGAGCAGTTAGGAACCATCTTTCTCTTTGGTTTTTATGGTTTTTTTTTGCTTTTATTTATTTATAAGAAACACATGAAAACTAAGAAAAAGAAAAAGATCAATAGAAAAAGAAAGAAAAATCTTAAAGAAAATAATACCTTAATGGGTTGCCTCCCATTAAGCGCTTTTGGTTTAAGTCGTTTAGCTCGACTTGGTGTAGGATGTGGCTTAGTCTAATGAAGAAGACCATGTCCTAAGACAAGTCTTTTTCAAAATACTTTGTTTTTCCTAGCGGGTTCTTCGTCACTCCAAAGTTCTGCTTCAAACTCCTTTGTTGCAGGACGTTTTCCTGTTTTGCTGTTGTACGGGGCATCTTCCGTGAAGACATCTTTGTCAATATTAGCAAATGAAGTCCTCCGGTTTGGTCAGTCCATGATGGCTCCGGAAGTTGCTGGAAAAGACCATCCGAGAATCACTGGATGTGTTGCGTCCTTTGTTTCGAAAATGTAGCTCCAGACATATCCTCAAAGGGATATCATAAGCTACTCCTTTGGGTGTTGAACTGGAATCATCCTCCAGACATATCTTCGTCCTAGTCCTGCGCAAATGCTTAATAGCAATTGCCTTGGACATCATATTGAGACAAGCTCCAGAATCACAAAGCACATTGTTAAACATTGTACCTCTAACTGAACAAGAGATGAGAAACTGACCTTGGCCTTCGATTTTGTGAAGTGTTCGAACAGGTCTACCTTTTCTGGCATGATTGAACAAGTCTTCAATTTTAGGAATGAATTCCTTTCTCTTACTGAAGTAATGGCCGATCATGAAGTTTTTGCAAGCTCTGGCAAAGGTGATTCCTTCAGGTAAGTTTCGAACTACATCATTGAACTCGACAAGCTTTTCTTTGCTGATTTTGTTGGTGTAGTAACTGCATTCTTCAGGTATTTGAAGGTGAATTGCATAGACAGCTGCTTCTAGTGATGTTAGGTATCGGGCTCGCATAAAGTGTGTGTGGATTTCCTCCTTAGACTCCTTACAGTATCTGAATAATACCTGCAAGCAACGAAGCTTCCAGACATCATCGAAGCTTAGATGAGCAGGGAGTGCTTTGACAAAGTTGTTGAACTCTATCAGTTGATCCATTCAACTTCTGGGGTACTGCTTCCTGAGGATTATCCTGCGTCTGGGTCCTCTACGAACAAGCCATACTCTTCATCTTCAGAGTATTGTTCTTCATACTCATTTTCACAAGACAAAGCCATGTTTCAGAGTATGGCTTGTCTTCGTCTTCAGATTCCTGAGTGCTGATAGAGTAAATCAGTTGCTGAAAAAGGGGTCTAGCTACTCTAGGAGGTGCATCAGACGAACAAATGCTTGTATAAGCCGGATGAGGCTGTCTTGGAATGTTTTGACGGCTGGCCGTGACTGCAGGAGATGCGACTTCAGGGAATCAACTATGGGCCACAGGTTGGCTAAGCACAACCACGGGTGGACGTCTCTTGGCCGTGGTCACAGGGAACACGACCACGGGAGAGTGTCTTCGAAGTGGATTGCTAGAATTGCTTGCTGTTTTGCTTCCTAAATGATCTCCTGGGTCTTCTGGTTCAGTATACTTTCTCTCTTGGCCTAGGTCTTTAATGTGGAGTACCGAAATTTGGTTTCCAAGTCCTTGCATGATCTCTTCAACTTTTTCTTAAACTTCATCAGGAGCATAAACAACCTTATCTATGGTTGAGTCAAGCTCTTTGGTTTTGTCAATAATCTTGTCTTCTCTGAAACTTCAACCGTGAAGTCATAAGACTCGTTATTAGCTTCGTTGAGGGAATTTTCCACATCTTCGAGTTTGAAATCCAGGTCCATGATCTTGTTAGTGTTGCAAAGCTCGTGAGCGTACTTTACTTGTTCTTCTTCCATGTTGTCGAATCTATTAGCGATCACGGCTGCGTCTTTGGTTGCTTGTTCCTCCATTGATTTGATCTGGGAAGCAACGTCATCAATCTTCTCGTCCAAAAGCTTTGATATGCCCTCAATCTGTTCTTAAGAGCGGCTGTAGTAACGGCTTGAGCTTCAATAAACTGTTTGATTGTGCCTTCAAGCTGCTCTAATTGATTACTGATCTGGACGTTCTCATCCTGCTGGAGGATTTGGTGAGGTAGGCGATAAATAAGTGGTCTAGGTTTCACCATGGGAGGCGTGTAGGGGTCGTCCAGGAATGCTCGATAGTTCAGATTTGAGTTCTGAACCGAGTTGAAGAGGTTGCGTATGTATTGCTCTTCTCTGAGTGTTGTAAAAGCATCCCTCGTAGTATTTCGGTTTATATAGTCAATTGCTTCGGGAACTTAAAGAAAAAGAACTAACAAAAAAATGGAAATAAGCAGAAAAAAGGTTCTAGAGTCGATTTACCAACCTTTCTTACGGCTTTGCGGAAAAAGAAACGTGTGCCTTCCCTGGCCACGACGCCAAAAACTTGATGTCGTTGGTGATGAGGGTGTCAAGATTTACCCTAAATGAAATCAATAAGCCGCAAGTGCACAGTTGATCAATTGTAGTACTTAGGGATCGAATCCAGAGGGAAGGAGGTTCTTTTTTACAAAATCCTTCAAAAGAAATATGAAGTAAGGAAGTCTAGAACCAGGCGATTTTTTAGAGGGGTTTTGGTGATGTCTTTAAAACGTAAAAACTAATCTTAACCGAATCCAGGAATTAAAATGACATAATATCTAAACTTAATGAAATCGACTAAAAATGATGAAAACGGCTATACCTAAATTGCTTGAATGAAAACTGGAATAAGAAAAATAACCTGATGACTAAAACTTATATTGAAATCGGCGAAAACTTATAAAAACGAGACGTTGGGTTTTCAGGGAAATTCTCTCCAGGGGATGAACGATTCAAAACATTGCTAAAAAGTAAATTTAAAAGATCCTTGCTAAAACTTTTAAAACTCGAGTCACGAACGTATGAATACGCCACTGTCGTGATCATAACCAACTATCTCTCGCAACCCTGACCAGTAGGTTTCCACTCTGACCCTGGAAGAGAAAAGATGCAAGCTTGCTTAAGACTCGTCAACATTCACAATTCGCCCATAGGTAGGTTTCCACTCCTATGGTTGATCTGCTCTTCTCAAACTAGATCTGACCCCGGATCAATACTTTCGCAACACCAAGGACCAAGATCAGATTGTAGTTCATGACGATACTCTCATGCATTAAAAATGGGCTTTGAGGTCGGACAAACCATTCTCCGCATTCGGGAATGACGGGACCGGTGCAAAATGGGTGTTGGCTGCGGTAGGAATATTTACCGGCTAGTTTACAGGACATCATGATCTACTCATAACTTTTGATTGAACCGTTGGATTGCCATTCTGTTGAGTTTTCTGGAAAGCTGGTATTTCCATCTTTCAGGTCTCCAAATTTGAGTTGGATCAGACGGTGAGAAGGTCTTCATTTGAGGGGGAACTTCTGACGGTTTGACTCTGAGCTCAAATCTGGTCTTCTATCCATTTTGTTAAGCTTTTTCCTAAGTTTCCTGAAAAGAATCTTGAAACTACAAATACTAGAAAAACATAATAAAAACACTTGAAAGCAATAAAAAAACTTTGAAAAAGTATTTCAAAACGATCCATAAAAGTGGTCAAAATACAGTGTTATCATTTTACTTCGCTCAAGTGAGCTTGATTGTTCTCAGACTTAGCCTTTCGGCGACACTCCAAAATTTATGTCCAAGCTTGTTGCAGTAGTTACACTTCCCATTGAACTTATTCATGGTGATTGACTGATAACACCGGATTTTGACCATTTTTATGGATCACTTTAATATCTTTTACATGTGTTTTTACTTCATTTCCAAAGGTTTTCAAAGGATATCTATGTTTTCGGATTTTAAAAGACTTTTCAGGTAATTTGGGATAAAGAGGCACAAATTGCAACAAAAAGACTCTTTTGGATAAATGCAGACCGTCAGAATTCTCATGGAGAGACGAAGACCTTTTCACCGTCTGATCACCCTCAAAATTGAACAACTTATAGAAGAATTAACCAGCTTTCAAATGCACTTGGTTTGGAGACATTCCAACGGTTGGATCTCAAGATATTCCATTAGCCCCGGAGCCACTCGAAGACAAGCAGCAAGTCACGCGACCGCGGCAAACAGCCCATTTCCCGCGGTCAGAAGCCTCCCGACCACGGCCAACCACCTAATCCCTGCGGTCACGTCACTCCCGACCGCGGCCATCAAGCTCCGAACTAAAGCCCATATTTCTGAAGCCCAAAGTCATTCTCAGCCTCAATTCCAGAACCCTAGAGACCATGGAGAATTGAAAACTATAAATACTTGTCTTTTATGTCGTTTTTAGAGAGAACCCTTCATACTTTACAAAAACTCTTTTCCTTTAGCCATTTTTATGCGATTTTGTAGAAGATTGTTGAAGTCCGAGTTCTTCAATAGAGAAGCTTTCTTCATCTCTTTTCTTTACTGTTTTTCATTACTTTTATTAAAATCAATGATGATGTCGACCTCAGCCATGTCTGAGTAGATCCCGAGTTGGGCTTAGGGTTCCCGAAAGGGGCTCTCATAATCGATTAAGACATCTAGGTTTATAGATCTGGGATTTCGACTTGTTCTCTGTTTATTCTTGTTCTTATTGCATGTATGCTTGATTGATCACCTAGTATCTGATCTAGATAGTTAGTGTTGCGAAAGTTTTCATTAAGTATCAGCCCTAGAATGAAACAGGCGATTTTTCCGTAGGAGTGGAAACCTACCTGCGGCGAGATCGTGAGTATTGACGAGTCTTGTGCAGCTCTTGCGTTCTCTCCCTTCCAGGGCCAGAGTGGAAACCTACTGGTCAGGGTTGCGAGAAACAGTTGGTTATGATCACGAAATTGACGTAGTCATACCGCCGTACTCTAGCTCTAGAACCCATATATATCGATATCCGTCAATCCCAATCTATCTACCCTAGTGTCAAAACCGATTATGATCCTTTAGAGTTCCCGAAAGCTCAGCGTTTTTAGCCATAGTTTACAAACCAATCGATTTTTGATTGCTTATTTAGATCTGCATTTTAATTACCTTAGTTCGATATTTACTTGTTTTACTTGCTTTCCATTCGATCTTTCTACTTGCTTTCTAGGATAGATTTATTTGCTTTCTTTTGTTTTAGTTTAATTCGTGATAAACAACCAACCTTTAAAACCAATCTAGTCTAGACATAAAGTTAGAAACCGTAGAAGAATACCAGACACACAAATCTCTGTGGATTTGAACCCTAAATACTACAACTGATTAGCTGTGCACTTGCGGCTTTCATTTGTTTTGTTAAGGGTAAAACTTGTTCCCTCAGGCAGTTGACACGACATCAAGTTTTTGGCGCCATTGCCGGGGATTTGTTTCGCTGCCTTTTGTTATTTTTCTTGTTTTAACTTCTGTTCTAGACACCTGATCTCTAGTTCTTTCTTAAAGTTTTGCTGAATTATCTTTCCCTTCTTTTGTTTTTCTCTGAATTGCATGAATACCAGGCGCAGACCTGTAGAAAACATTCCAATTCTAGACGAGATAGACAGACACGAAAGAGAACTTCGAAGACTTAGACGAACACAAGGAATGGCCAACGACGACCAGCCTGGAGATCCTATTAACCGAGCTTTAAATATGGACCAAGACGGGTCCGAACATGGAGAAAATGAAGAGAATGATCACAGAGGAGGTGATCATGCTCGACCAGATGGAGAGGAGGATGAGGTTCCTCCAAGAAACCACCAAAACCGCGAGAGAGAAGAACGTGAAGACCTTGAAGCACCCATCAATGCAGCCGATGGTGACCACCAAGGAATGCAGCCGAATGGACGCATTAACCGCCCTGTACAGCCAGCAAATCAACACCGAAGACAAGCCAGGAACCATCGCATAGCTGATTTCGATGCACCTACTCAAAACTTTCAAAACCGATCTGCAATTCAAGTTCCATTTCCGAACCGGAATGAGTTTGAAGTCAAGCCTCAAATCATCTCATTGGTGAAACAAAACCAATTCCATGGAGTTCCTTCCGAACACCCAATGGACCATATCGAGCTCTTTGAAGAAATCTGCAGCATGATGAGAACAAACCAAGTTCCAGCAGACTATTTAAAGTGTAAGTTGTTCCCTTTTTCATTAGCAGACAAAGCTCACCGTTGCTTGAAATCTTTCCCTGCAGGATCGATTACTAATTGGGAAGAGTGTAAAACTGCTTTCCTGAATCACTTCTATACTAAGTCAAGGTCGAACCAGTTGAGAACAAATATCTCAAGCCGACTGAATCTTTCTATGAAGCCTGGGAACGTTTTAAGGAGTATGAACGTGATTGCCCTCACCATGGATTCCCTGGATCAAGCCTGCTGAGCACATTTTACCGAGGTTTGCAACCAAAATACAAACTTTCACTTGATACAGCTAGCAATGGAGGTTTTGGACAAAAGATGATAGCACAAGGAAGAGCCCTCATCGAAAATTTGGCTTAAGCCAATAGCAATGATTGTCTGGAATACGATCGATCGACGAAGCAAACCGGAACAGACAACAAGGAGATAACCGAGTTGAAGAACATGATGAGCCAGCTTCTGAAGAGCAACAATCGTCCAATCCATGCTTGTGAGACCAACAATGGCGCAGAAGATGAAGGACCTAGTGATATTGATCACATTAATCAAGCCTTTCAAGAAGAAGATGTGAACTATGTCGGAGCGCTAGTACCATATCAAAATCGCCTCAACAATGGCTTCAACAACAAATTCCGGAATGCAAATTACAACAATCTCTCTTACCGCAATCCAAATGTGGAGAATCCTCAACATCAGTACTACCCACCTCAGCAAAAATCCTTCCAAAACAAGTTCCAAGGTGGAAACTTCGGAGGAACAGGACCATAGCAACCGCGACAGCCATATAACTACCAAGGTACGGGTTTTAACAATCAATTTGTACAACAGCAGGGAGTCACGACGAACCAGCTAGCTTCACAAATCGGTAGACTTGGAAAGTCC